AGATCATACATATAGAAAATGAAAGATAAGCACCATACAAAAGAAATAACATAAAATAAAACTTACAACAAATATAATTGCTTAATAATCCGATAAATCATTTTCGGATCCATTAAAATTATTAAAATAATCCGATAAAATATTATTAAATTCTTACATAACATGATAATAGAAGATGATTGTGATCTCGAGGTGCCAACTGAAGTTGAAAGAGAAGTCATGTCAAGGAAAATTGATATTGAAGAAAATAATAATGTGAGGTTCCAAAAGTTTCTTTCCCATTTCAGAAAAATCAAAGATAAAGAAGCTCATTTTTTACTTCGAAATGCATTAGTTGATCATTTGTGGGAAAATTATTATAATTCTAATGAATAATTTAGAATTGATGTATTATTGTGTTTAAGCTATATAATGTAATTTTTAATGTATTAAATGTATTCTTTTAAAACCTTGTTGAGTAGTTTTATTTATATAATAAAAATTTAATTGTGGTTAATATCGTATTTAATAGAAATGTTATTAATTTAAAATGGACTGTTTTGCAAATAGTATAAATAAAAGGTGATATTCCTAATTTTGAAATAAATATAATATTAAAAATATTCTTTTGGAGTAGAAAATGGAGTAATACATTGGAGTAAAACCCAACTGCATTTTGGAGTTACTCCATTTTAGAGTAGAAAATGGAGTAATACATTGGAGATGCTCTAACTATCGCACTCAGTTCTCACGCGTAGCGTGTTCAAATAAAAGCTGAATAAACTGATCAGAAATGACATTTTATTGACTTTTTTTTTTGTAGACGATTTAAAAGCATTCATCGGTGATGAGATATAAGTCTTATACTTAGCAAAATCATTATACTCTCTATTATCTAATTAATATTTGTTAAACAAGCATTTAGAAAAACAATTATCAAATATTAATGTTATCCAAATGATTTTTACTCAAAGCTCTCAAATATAATTTTTATGAGAGCATTTACAGTTAGAATATATAAAACTTAAAAAATATATATAATTAATTTAATTTATTTTACTTATATAAAAATATTTTTATAATAAAAATAAATTTATATTTTAAAAAATAAAATAAAATTATGAAATATTTTTAAATTATTTAAAAGAACAATATTTCACATCTAAAATATAATACAATTTATATAATTACACATATCTTTCATTATTTTCAATAACAAACTTAACATAATATATATTTAGATATTATAGATATAAACATATATATATTATTTAGACACTGGTAAATAAATTATGTAACATATATTAATTTTTATGATAGTTATATATATATAAATCATTTACTACTCTACCAATAAATAAATAATAATAAATTTCAATTTAATAATATTAAATTATGTTTATATGCAAAAATAATAATTTAATATTTTCTAAATAAGAATATTTCACATATAAACTATGATATAGTTTATATAATGAATAAGTTTTACTATTTTTAATATCAAATATATTATTATAAATATATAAATATATTTTAAAATAAATATTTTATTATACTAATTATTATGATAATTTTAAAATTGTATATTTTTACTGTTCTACCAATCACTTTATTAAAAACTTTAAAAAAACATACAGTTTCTACAGCATACTGCTTCTATAACATACTGATAATGCTTTATCATTTGTCGTACCAATCAAATCCTAAGTGAAGTATTTCATCAATATATATTATTGATATTAATATAATTTAAATTATACTATAGATAATTTAAACTATTAAAATGTAGTTTTTACATGAAGACATTTGTTAAGACTCAAAAAGACATATAAATTTTTCTCAAATGTAAAACCTATCTCACCTTCTCCTTTCTTTTTTAAATATTTTATGAAATAAGAAACTGTAACTAATCTAGTAGTATACATTATATATATAAACCTTTTTCTGTATTCTTTTTTTTTTTAAATAGTGAAATCTAAATTTTAATCATAAGATTCATAACCAAAAACTTGCCAATAGATGAAATCATAAAATCCATCAATAAAGTTGATATCTTATCATCTCATTATTTTCAGATTAATATTGCTAGCTATTGTAATTTTGGGTTTGACTTTGTTAATTTAGTTCATTTTTTAGATTTAATACTTCGGATTTCTGTTGACAAAAAAAAAAACTTCGGATTTCTTTTGCTGGCAAGTAATCGAGACTTCTTGAAACACTGATCAGATTTTGGGTAGACGATGTTCCAATAAGAGAAGTGATAAGAAGCGAAGCAATGGGAGCTGATTATCCGGCGAAGCCAATGTCTCTCTACGCCACCATTTGGGACGCCTCCGACTGGGCTACTTCGGGTGGAAAATACAAAGCTAATTACAAATATGCCCCTTTCATCGCCGAGTTCAAGTCCTTCTCCCTCGACGGCTGCTCCGTTGATCCCATCCAAGAAGTCCCCACCGATTGCTCTGACTCTGTTGACTTCCTTGAATCACAAGACTACTTTTTCATCAACTCACGCCAACGCACCGCCATGAGAAGATTCCGACAACAATTCATGTACTATTCCTACTGTTACGACACAGTTAGGTATCCGGTACCACCGCCTGAGTGTGTGATTGTTCCAGCAGAAAAAGACAGGTTTAAGGATACGGGGAGGTTGAAGTTTGGTGGTACTGAGGCGCGTGGACGACGTAGGAATCGCCGACAGCAAATGTCTGAAATTGAAAGTGATCCCGACGAAAGAAGACGATTTCTAAAATAAGATTTATGATGTTTTTTCATTTGTTACATTCATTTGTGAGTAAAAGAAAAAAAAATAAAAATAGTAAAGATTTGAAAAAGATAAACATCGTTGAGAGTTAAGAAAGAAACAGAATCCACAAGCAAACTAATATCTAACTCAACTGAAACGATCCTCCATCAATCTCCGAGTTCTTAATGGTAACGTTGTGAAGAAAGAAGCAAATAGCGATAAGTCCCAACCAAACGTAAACAATTGTCAGAGTTCTTCCTTTTATTCACATCAACCCTTTCGCAAACGGATTCATATGAACCAAAACCCAAACGGAATAGAAAGTCCCACAAACAAGATTATTGTCGATCATCACTGAAATAGAGATAACGGCTGGAGGAAGCAGTTATATGAAGATGAAAATGCTGGTGAACGGGTAGATTCAGTAAGAGATTCTCTGGAGGAACTTGAGTTTCCTACCGGCTAAAATAGCGTTGTTTGTAAAGAAAAAGATCTTGACTGATCCCGTGAGACAACAAAGAACCTGGTGGAGTCGATCAGTTATACTTCCGCCTTTAAAACACATCTTGTCCTCAGGATGATGATCTTTCAATCTGCCACTGATGGAAGGGAACATTTTTCTACAGAGAGCTTAGTGGGGTATGGTTTCTCAGTGCAACCCCTTTTGACTATGGTTCCTGTTAGGACATTCCCAGCTTGACCACTACTGCTCTTAGAAGCTATGCACGTAACAAAAAACACCTCTTATAGTATCTGAGCTTTTACTTCAACCATTTCCTGAACAAGCGGTGCTCGAAGCTTCCTCACCATACGTCCCTTGTTTCTGGTTTTGCATCCCATCACAATCTCTATCTGACTTACAAAGTGTTTAAACTCTGCAATGACAATTTCTCTGAAATCTTCAGCCCATCTTTGTATTATTAAGGTTTTCTTAATAATACAAAGAATAAGTGAGAGAAAACAAACGAACAACAAAGAACAAGTGAAAACAGCTTTTGTGAATTATTCATTCGATTCTATATAGTAGGAAGCACCAAAGAAAAAGAAAAAAGAATATTACATATGAAGAAGGCATATGTGATCTAAAAGAGCCTAGCAAGAGCTTGCTATTCATATGTACACAAGCCAACTTTTGTTCCTACGTTAGAAAAACAAAAGGTACATGTTTCTTTCTTTCATCAGGGAGAGGCTTTGAAGTATATTTTCGTACTTTTGTTCCACTGATTGTGTATCCTGCAGATACATGAACAAGAATCCTGTATGGGTTTTTTTTCTTATAAGTTATAATCTATAGTTACAAACTTTTGAGACGAAAGGTAGAAAGTGTTACCCTAAACACTGAGAGATTTATTCCAGGGTTGTGACAAGGAGACCGTTGAAATTGACGCTTCTATTCCTCTTCTTTTCTTGATTGCAGAGTTTAGAGTCGTGTACTGTTCATTCACCGACTTGTACAGAGCTTGGCTGTATGCTTCTTTCGCCTGCCATACAACACCAAGAAAGTTTAGTCATGTTCAATGATGATATAAATAAGTTTCCGATTTGAGTAATAGATGAGACCTCGTTAGGGTTGTTGCAGTCTGCCGTGACGTCTGAGAAGCTGATTTCAGGAGCAACTGATACTCCTGTACCATGAAACCCAACTAATCTTCTCTCTCCAATTTCTTTCTCAACCTGTAGATTCCAGATGAGGCTATGACAGAAAAGTAAACCACACAAAGCACAAAATGGAGAAGAGGGAGAGGGAGGGAGTTAGCAATACTTTGGGCGGAGGGGGCATGATGTCATAGCAAAGCAAAGACATTGGATAGATATGGCCAGGAGTACCCGAATGTTCAACCAGTCTTCTCATGTTGTCCACCGAAGAAGGATCAAAGGGTGCCTGCACATTTCTCTAGATCAGTATCTATGATATGATGATATCCACCAGACACAGATAAGATCTCTGCATTCCTTCAGGTTAACTTACAGGAAACCATTCCCCCGTAGAAGGATTTGGACGGTCTCTTCCACCGCTTGGTGCAATCCATATAAGTTGGGAGCCAGACCTACAGTGTGATTCATGCTGCATTAGCAGAATGCCATCAACCTAATTTCTTTTATTTTCCCAGTATCTGAGATCTAATAGAAAGATTCGTAACATAGTTCCAATAACCTTAGCAGTGTAGCCATCTCCTTTAAGCTTCGTGTGTTTGCTTTTCTTTTCATATCAAGAAGCTCAGGATCATCGTTCATGTGATTTTTCGAGTACACACATATCAGATTCCTGAAAGCAGGAGAGATCCCGGAAAAGTCATACAAGGTTGCTCATTATTACACTTCAGCCCATCGGGTATCATACCATTATTAAAAGAAAGGTTTGTGATACCTTCCCATACTAAACGGCTTACAAAGAGGATCAGTGATTACTCGATCACCAGCCACACATTTCTGCAGCAAAAAGAAACAAAAATAAAAAGAGGAAAAGTATAGAGACAGTAGCGTATAGCTCAGAACAAGGCTCGAAGACTTACAATGTTCTCTCCTATGTATGGACATTGTGCTTCAAGTAACAGTGAAATGACAGCTGGATCAGCTTCACTTTGATGATTTGATATTAACACGATATTGTGCCCCTAAAACCAAGCAGTTAAACAATCAAATTCCTAAACGAAAAAGAATTTATATACTGATGGAAGCAAAATGGGTTAACTAGAGCATAAGAGAGAGGAAAGAGGACCTGCCGAATCTTGTCTTCCAGCTCAGAGAAAATAGGAACATTTCCAGCGTAAGAATTTCTGCAGAAAGAGTAAATTTAGAAGCTGGAAGAAGATGAACACTTGATGGCAAGAAGAAAGGTATAAGATCCACTGAGACCATTCAAACGAATTGGAAAGAAATACTATAGTTGCAGTTCAAAAATAAGATCAAACTAGGAGTGAAGATTGCAGCTTACTCGAAATCAATGAGGGGACGGATGTATGTATGGACAAAGTGGAAGTAGTCAAATGGTTCTCTGATTGCTTTATGATATGGATTAAAAGTATAAGGATGCTGAAAAATTAAAACAGATGATTAGTCGTTGTAGATAAAAATTGGAAAAAAGGAAGGTAGCTTACCTCAACACCAAGAAGCATGCGATCGAAAGCAAGAGACATGTTTGATAAAACAGTCTCATCTGCCCTGGAAGCTCCGCTACTCAAAACCTAGCAGAGTATCAGTAAGAAAACAAGATTTTTATTGAGTTCCTTTCTGCTGCTAAGGGTTCTAGAAACGGTGAAGCATAGCAGCAATGGGTACAAACAAAAGCATTAAACACTTTACAGCATTTTTGTAGTTCCAATAAAGTTCTTCCATCCCAGATGCAACATTAGGAGGCAACGTTCCAGCTTCTTTTTCCTTCCTTATACCAGATATAAGATCTGGAAATTTGAAACAAATAATGTTACAGATTCCAAGAAACTTAAATCTGATCAAGCTCTCTAGCAATGAGAACATTTCAATAACCTTATCAAGAAAGAAGATATACGATTTCGGTTATACATATTGTAATCTGCGATAAGATAAGGCAAACGAACAATGACCATAATGTACGAACTCACTCCATAGCTTCCGAATCCGTCTCCTAATCTCTACCCCAAGTGTAAAAGTAACACTAAGAAGAAGAACAAGAAGAAGAAGACCGACCTTGTTCAGTTCGCGCATCCAAGAAGGTACGGGAATGGTTGAGCTCACTCGGCGTCGTTTCTTCAGCATCATGGAACGAAGAGGTAGCTGCGACGACAGATTCCTCGTCCTCAACAAGCTCAGATATCGCTCTCACCGCGCCGCCATGCGAACGAAGAGGAAGCTTCTTGGCGGTTAATCCGAAGGAAACGAAGCCGCGGAGAGTCGGACAGACGAGTGGAGTCAACGGAACCCTAGCGGAGGAAGTTACGGCTGCAGAAGCAACGGCAACGGTTGCGGCGGAGGAGGAAAATGCGAGAGTCATTAAAGCGTGTGTTTGTTTGTTGATTGGAGGAAGTAGAGAGCGAGCGTTCGTGTGTTTGTGTGTGTGAAGGAGATCGCTTCCTCACTTGTTTTCTTTTTTTTTTTAATATATTTTTTATTTAATTTTAAGTTTTATAATAAGAAAATATATTTTCGACATAACATCATTAATCCATAACAATTATCTTCTTTTAGAAAAATATTAAATTATTAATATAAACTTTTTAGTTATATTTAAATTAAATTATTAATATAAATTTTATTTTAGATAAATATAATAATTTTTATATCTTACTGTAAAATTTAAATTTTATAGATAAAAATATATTTTAAGATAACAACATAATTCATCTTATTTACTAAAAATATGATATATTTATATAAATACGTTTTATTTATAAATAAAATATATATAAAATATTAAAAATATGATAAATAAACAAAATTACCTAAACTTGTGTAGAACATGACAATTAAGTAAATTTACTTCTTAAATAGTATAATTCCCAGGAGGATTCCTCTTTCTCATTTTCCATCCACGTTTTTATTTTCAACTATATCTTTTATTTTCACCAAATTTAAAACTCATATCGTGTGTTTATTATAAATAAATATATACGAAATGGATAAAAAGGAAATCAATGTAAATTTAGAAATAAAAATACCTATTTTCTGAAAACAAATGAGAGTGAGCATTGTGAAATTAACATTTTTAAAAAAAGAAAAAAATAACTAACCAGTGGTGATAGCTCAGTGGCGCTTGAGGGAATAAACCCAATAAGGTGAACTCGAGTTCAAACCCCACTGGCCACACGGATATAGGTTATTACTTTCGACCCATTTGAATGCCCAGGAGCGGGTCTATCCGTGGGCTGTATCTCCACCCGGGGATTAAGTCTGTGTCTTTAATAGCCCGGATTTAACCCTTTTAGTTTAAAAAAAACTTAAAATATATAAATAGTACTCAATAATAGTTTAAACATTGTTAATAATATTAAGCTAACTTTTAAAATTTTATTGTTTAGTTTGATAAAAAATATTTAATATTGTTAGAGAAATTTTTATATTTTTAGAGAGATATGTGGACTAAATAGAAATTGTATATTAATATTTAACTCCTTTAAATGATATACATTTGAAAACCATTGTTTTTTCTGTTCTTTTTCTTTTTTATAAATAGGAGAAAATATAAATACAATGAAACCTCTATAAATTAATAATGTTGGGATTTTGAAATTTTATTAATTTATAGAGATATTAATTTACGAAAGTTTCCTTATTTAGATTTTTTTATTATTTTTTCCATTTTTATTTATAAAATAAAAAATATATATATTTGATTTTTGCATATGTATATTATTTAAATTTTAGAAATTTGACTTTTATATTGTTTAATTATCTTATTTGGTGTATATTTTTATGTTTTATAGAATTGTTACATAGTTTTCGATATAATTTAACTAAATATTATCAAAATATATTGAAATGTTGAAAAAAATAAAAGTATTTTTATAGTAAATATAAAACCCCTAACTAAATATTATGAAAATATATTGAAATGTTTAAAAAATAAAATTATTTTTATAGTAAATATAAAACCAACAATATTATGTTAGATTGTACTTATATAAAAATATAGATAACTAGATTATTAATTTATGATTTTAGTGAGACCATATATTTATATGGTAGTTTAAAAAATATTATTATCTTATTATTTTATCAATTTGTTATATTTTACATCGGTCTAAGTTGGGACTGGTAAAATTTATTAATTTATAGAGATTATTAATTTATCGAGTATTAATTTATAGAGTTTTTACTGTAAAGGGCCAAGACGACCACACTAAAACCATATCTTAAATACTTCCCCGCTTTTTGTTGTGTCCGTACTTGTATTTGCCTTTTTTGGTTTGCACAAGTCACATTTGTGTGCACACACAACGATATCTACCTTCTAAATATAATTCATGTCACGTCCACGACAACAAATCAAAATCACGTAACAATTGTACATTAATTAACTATGGAAAAAAATAATTATATCTTATTTATATTTATTTTATAAAATGGGATGGGATTTGGTTGAACAAGTCACATTTGTATCTACACGTAATGATATACACAGTGTTTCATATTGGTTTCTAATGTTTATAAATTAGTAAATAAGCACAATTATTAGATCTTCTGTACGTGAATTTGTTCAGTGACCTGAACTCACACTAACTTGAAGACTGTATATATTGACACTTGTCAAATTAGTGTTATTGAGAGACAAGAAAAAGGTTTTGATTCTTTGACAGAAATATAAATATCTCAAACTACAGTTTTGATACCAAAGTGACACCTAAAAACTCAAAGCACAATGTAAGATATGAGATGGAAACCTATCCAAGGAAATTGATAATCACCAAGTGGAGGACCAAGTTGCAGAGGACAAAATCTGCAAACGCTCGTTCAGGTGCTAAATCCTGCAAAGGAAAGAGGTTGCAAAGAATAATATTGATTGTGTTTTTGGATGTGTGGAAAAAAAGATTTATAACAAAGGCAACTAACAAGTTATGTGATAACGGATATAAAATATAAACTAGACCTAGAACACCAAACGATTATTCACGTGCATTTCTAACTCTCCCACAAACAAGATTATTCAGAATGCCTAAACAGTTGCAGCCTAACTCCCTTCTAAACTCTTATCTCATAGCTAAGAAGTGACTTATTCCCACATTACAGTTGGTTCTGTACTGCACTAACGAGAAGACCCTCTCATTATAACTACAGTGTCACTGAAGTTTGAATGGAATGGTTGAATGTGGACTGATATATAAATTAATCAACTAAAAAATGGGGGGGGGGGGGAAGACGAGGGAGATGAGAAAACAGTGGGTTTTGATCGTCATAGAGAAACAAAACAGTCATCAAAATTTGTTCAAAAAATAATTACCTTGAATTCTTTGTTTTCTTTGTTCACTTGAATCCGGAGGCAAACTATAAACAGAACATAGAGAAGAGTATTAAGTTTAATACATTCCCCAAAGATACAAGCAAGGAAATGCTAAACTCACCAGCCAGAACAGCAGTCCCAATACAGGAGAGAACTCCAGATAGGAAAGAGTTAAAAGGAAATGAGCCCACCAAGGCCATGTAAGCCACCTGTTCAAGAAAATCTCTAAGAGATTAACAATCTCTTGCTACATGCATGATCTTTTGGCCATTAGCCCATCAGTGAGCTAACGAAAAGGAATAAAAAGCTACAGAGAAATCAAAATCACTTATCCATGAATCTGTTTGCTGGTGAAATAAATCAAGAAACAAAAAACAGGAGATGTTTCCTTTCGTCAGGGACAAATCAGAGTGGAAGAAACAAACATAATGTTTTAGCATTTCTTTCATGTTGAAACGAAAGACTGACAGAACAAACCGGTTTGAACAGCAGATACTATGAAACTACAAGTTATATGTTCATAAGAAGATCTGATAAAGGGTTTGAGATTACGGTAAAACAATTCCCAAAAGAAAAATAGAAAAAAAAATCTAATTAGCCTGAAATAGTACAACAGATTCATAAGATCTAGAAACCGATGCGAGGGAGAATCGCAGATCTAGAAGCCATTCGATTAGAGTACCTGGATCAGAGCAGTGAAGACGGCGAACACGACGTACAAGTCGATGATCTGCAAAAACAAGTTCAGTTTTCAACAGGATTCGCAACAAACAAACAAAAAAAGGCGTAAGGAGAACCAAACAATGGCGAACCTTCAGATTAGTCGGAGTAGCGGAATAAGCGGAGTGAAGAGAACGGAACAGATCCTGAGCATCCTTACTCGTCGATTTCACCATTGCTCTCAAAGATCAAACAAACAACCCACAGAATCTCTTGTTCTTTTTCTTCGACTGCTTCACGTGTCCTGAAGACTTAGGGCATCCGCAACGGACTCGTGGTTAGAGTCCTTAGGATTAAATAATTATTATTATTTTTTTTAAATAGTTAAGGATTTTAATTAAAAAAATGTATGCAATGGTGTTATTTGATTAGGAGTTCTTAGGAATATATAGACATATCAAGAGTGAAACTAAAGTGTTAGAGCATGTACAACGCTGATCTTTTACAGATCCTTAGCGCTAATACATATGCAAATGAGCATTTAAAAATAATAAAACAATTTTGTGAGCTAAGGATTAATCCTTAGATAAGAAATTTAAGGATCAATCCTTAAGTGACATCTTTCTTCTCTCTCTCTTCTCCCGTCTCTGCCTCTTCTCTTTAGACATGGGGTTTTGATTCCCTTTCTGTTTCTCTCATTTTTACCCAGAAACAACAATAGAACACAATCGATTCATTGGGAGATGGTCTATGGGATTCGCTTCTAAACTGGCTCAGAAGGTATATTCTCTCTCTCTCTGGGATTTGTATAAAAGTCATCTCTTTTGTTAATCAAGTTAGTTAAGTAGTTGTAGTTATGATTAATCACTTATCAAATTTCTACTTTGCTGTGAAAGAGTCAGCGAAACTGTTTTGCTTTTGTTTCAGAAACTTACAGATTTTTTTGAGTTTCTTGTGATGTATCCTTTATTGTTACATAAACAATGTATGAGTTAATTCATTAAGCAATCTATTGGATGTTCTTGTGCATTAGTTTCTTTTTAGTTGATTTATAATTTCAACACAAATCAAGTATTTGCTTGATGTTATATTGAACTGCTTTTTGCCAGCTTGTTCTTCAAACAAGAGATGGAGCTCTCACTCGTTGGCCTTCAGAATACTGGAAAGACTTCTCTTGTCAATGCCATCGCTGTGAGTAAATCCTTACCCTCCATAGATATTGTGCTTTTTTCGAACATGGGATGGGATTAAACCGGTTCTTGTTTCCTTTTGGATTTTGTCAAAGACTGGAGGTTACAGTGAAGATATGATACCAACTGTGGGGTTTAACATGAGGAAAGAATGGAATTACGGTGGATCCTTTTCTGGCCGAGGCTTCTGTCAACGTGATTTGTATGTTTACAGGAGAATCTGGGTCTTGTCTACGCTCCTGTAATACCAATGCTTCTTCCTTTTATCTTAGTCTTCTTTGCACTTGCTTACATTGTGTACCGTCATCAGGTGAAACAAGTAGTTTAGTTACTTTCTCTTATGTTGATTTTAATGAGATTTTGCAACATTGTTATTCTTGTTAATCAGATCGACTGTTTTTGTGGGTTATAGTTCGACTACAAGGGTGGTTGATGGCTCACAGCCAGGCTGGTGCTAAACTCAAGGGTCCTTTCTACTAGTAATAGTGGTTATGCCAGCACAACTCCTCATACAGGTTTTCGCTTGCTGCTGCAGAGTTGCCTTTGTACTGTTAAACTGAGAGTGTGGGTTACATGACATTAAAGACCCAAGTGCAATACTCAAGTCTCGAATAACAATACATCATGTTGTTCTTTGCAGGTAAATTTTGTCCTTAATATCGTTGTGATGATCGTGATGCTAAGTAATATTTCACTTTTGTTGATGGGAGATACATTTGTGTGTTTGTTTGTTCATGCCCCTCTTATGTCATTTAACTTTGTTATACTCAGGCAGAAAAGGATCTATGGTTATACGAATGATGCTATTGCTTCTTCTTACGAAGCATTCCAATGTATGTGACCTTTGGCTTTCTTTCTTTTTGAACTTCTCTTAATTATACAAAAGCCTGTGAACTTTTTTGTTCATTGCTTTCATGTTTAGAAAGCAAAAGTTGTTTCTCTTTTCAATTTTTGTTCCTTTTTACCTGTGGATATCATATGCACTTCTACTCGAGTCATTTTTACAAGTATACCGTTTATGTCGTATTATAGACACGGTTAAGAAAATAGATAAAATTTTAAATTTCAATGTTTTACAAATTTTATAATTTGTAATTTATAAGATTCAATTTTTTTGAAAAAAAATTAAGGATTTCATGACGGATAACACCATTGGACATACATTTTTGATAAGAATCTTTAACTATTCAAAAAAAAAAAAACAATAGTTTAGTGTTAAGGACTCCAATGGTGGGTAACAGTACTAAATCTGATTTAGCAGCAATCTATTCACTTGCAGGCTCTTCTATGTCCTCCTTCTTAATCCTAAAGAAAAGGTAACCTGCAAATAGAGATGGCAAACTGGATACTGGACCGCAAGCCTGGCCCATATGGGTTTAGTGTGGGGCGGGTTTGGGCCGGTAAATTCAGAACCCGCAAATTAGCGGGCCTTGCGGGCGTGGGCTTGTGTGAAACCGGGTTGCAAGCGGGAAAGCCCAGAGGTATCCGCGGGATAGACTTGGATCCCGCATCCAGACCCTTCCTCTGCTAACGTCACCTGAAAAAAAAAAGAGAGTGAAAGACTACAGAGATCCGACGATGAGATCTCCACACGAGAAGAGGAGCGAGTGTGGAAGTTCGAACAAAACAGATTGGAGGTCCGACAGTTCTTCTGGTCACCACATCGTCTTCGAGCTGCAGCAGAGGAGCTAAACCGAGAAGGCTCCAAGAAAGTCGATTCATCTTCTTCGATGTGACTTCTATCCTTCTGAATGAGCTTCAAAACTGCAGAAGTCGGACACGCATGTACGGACTTGTGTATTTCAGACAAAAAAATCAAGTTTATTTGGACTTGAAGTTAATCTCTGGTCTAACTTTTATATTTTTTTTCAGGTTGTTAATGTAATAGGACCAACAAGATCCGAACTCCGAAGGTACTTACTTAGTTTATCGATCTATAGTTTTTTTACTAAAGGATTTCTTAGCGATATTAGTTTGAGTTAAGTATCTTGTGTTCCATATAGTTTGTGTTTGTTTCGTAGCGATCTAGGTTCTTAGCGTTCTATAGTTTGTTTCAAATTTATTTGTACTTAAATCTCTGCTCTAACTTTTGTGTGATTTTTTTTCAGGTTGTTACTGTTATAAGACCAACAAGATTCGAACTCTGATGGTTGATATTTATTACAAACCGTGTCATCACATTGTGGCATTTTTTTGTTTGCTAATGTTCTGTTCAATTGTTCTCTGTCGGAGTAGCTTGTTACCTATGATCAGTTATCTGTACACTCAACCATTGTTTTCTTGTTTCACCGATTCACATGATTTGTGTTTGGGGGAATAATGACTTTAGTTATGGATTTTTTGTTTCCTGATATTTCTGCTTTAAATATGTGCAAAGCCTGCTGTCTTAATTTACAACTTCAGTGCAAATATATGGTGGCTCCCCTAATCTTGTGAATAGCTGCATGTTGATGTCGTAAAAGAGTACTTTGGTTCATGCTATTGTGATAAGGAATCTTGAGAAAATATGTGTATTGTAAGAATGATACTCACTTACTCTTGTTGAGAAAATCATATGTTCCCGTCCTCCATGTCGATTGCCATGATTCTTTAAGTTAAAAGTGTCAGATCTCGAACTGGTGTTGGCTTTAAAAATGCAGATGTGGCCATTACCTTTCAATTGAGGCCAGCGTTTCCTTGTTGGTGTACAATAGACGTCATCCAGGTCGACGGATGAAGGTATTTGGCATTTGTCACTCAGGCTTGCAGGTTATTGTAGTTGGTAAGGCTGCTTTTGTGTTTTGAAACTTCAAGCCCTTAGTGTGAGCCTGGATATATTACAGCACCTTTTTGTTAGATATGTTTGAATTACCATGCTAGAGGGGAGCCTGGTGAGACCATTGTGGATACTGTAAATGATTTCTTGTATCAAACATATACTGCAGGTTCACATAGGCTATGGTACTAAGTTGATGCCAGGGCTTCATCTTCAGTTTGAAACAGTTTCGAATGCTACTGACAGCTGATTTGTTTGTTGAGTCATCACTTTTATGGAATAGAATAATTTTTACCGTGTCATGTTCCTGAATGTCATCTTCTTATGACCTGTTTTGATGCATTTGTTTTCTGTGTTGCTGTGTTCTTAGTCAGATCCTCTTATTGGCTCCTCTTATTGAACTACTGGAGAAAATGTTGGTGCTTGATCTGTCTCAGGTACCAAACCTCCGTCTTACCCTTATGCTCTTAACAACAAGAGATCACTTTCTTGAAGTGTCTCACATAGTCTAGTTAATGTGTTATTATCACTTTCTGTTGGTTCAGGAAGTTTGCTGCTCAATTCGTTGTTAATAATAATAAGCCACAAATTCTGAAAATGTACTTTATTTATTTCAACGTGGTAGGTAGATCAGTGATCATAGACCAGTTCATTTTTAAAAAAATTACATCCTCTTTTAACCTAAGTCTCTGATATGTTTTTTGTTTTTGTTTTTCTTCTATGTATGAATATGTTTTGTCTCGATCTGTTGGACTGAATGGTGAATAAGGAGGAGTCAGGACGTCAGCTTACCAGCGTTTCATTCCAATGTAGCAGCTTCAAGACCTCGGGTTAGGAGCTTTAATGTCTTGCTTAGAACTAGTAAGAATTCATAGAAGAACTCACTGTTTTATTTAGAAATAGTTAGAATTGATTAGAGAACTCACTTTTTGGTTAGTAATAGTTAGAATTGATTAAGAACTCACTGCCGTGTCTTGATATGTTGTTTGATGCATGTTGTTTGAGAATGTTGTTGCTTGTCCTCAAGTAAGTTTAAAAATTTTAAGTACAAATTTAAATAAAAATTAATTAAAATATTAATTAAATTATTAACAAATTTTAAAAAACCCTAAAAGTTATGTTACGTCAAGGAACCGTAGCCGTAGGTTAGCTTAGAATTTAGAAACCTAACTAGAGCGACTCATAACTGAGAAGTCAGAAGATCAGGAGATAATGGTATCAAGGAACAATACAGAAGATCAGGAGATCATGGAATCAAGTGGCTCGTTGGGAGATCAGGAGATGTGCACTGACTACTCTCCACCGGATACTTGTGACTTTGAGACTCAAAAACTCATAGCTAAACTTGCTGCAGAGGAAGAAGTTGCGGCTCGGGTTACTGATGTTCATGTTAATGATGGAAAGAAGCAAGGAAGCAAAAGAAAGCTCATCAGTCTTGTTGATTCAGAAGATGATTCTGATGTTGAAATCACTCCACAAACCCAAAAGAGCAAGCCTCGTAAACAAACCAGTTTTGGAACAGCTTCGCGAAAACCCATGTTACAATCCACTCTAGATCGTGATAGTGGCTCGTCCGCACGGGTCCGTAGTCAGACGAAGTATGTTCCTTTGAAAGCAGTGATTCGTGGAGGGAGAAGAAAGCCATCAATTCCGCTTTCTTCTAGCCAGTCTCGAAAGAAGAAGACAATCCAAGAAGAGATACCGGATTTTGATGATGAATTGGAAGAAGATGAGTTCGATGAGGATGAAAACGGTTTGCAAGATAGGGAGAACAGGCAAAGATCAGACGTGTGGACCGATTTCAAGGTGATTGATAAACCCAATGGGGAGATGAAAGCTGTATGCAACCATTGCAAGAATGAGTATGCTTGGTATTCTCATTCTCATGGAACAAGTGGGCTGAGAAGGCATCGAGAGAGATGTAGAATGTTTCCAAGGAATACTGGAAATCAGCAACAACTCAATCCTGAGGGGAAAGTAGTGACTCGCAAATATGATCATACCGTATTTAGGCAGATGGTAGCTAAGACAATAGTCCAGCATGATTTACCATACTCTTATGTGGAGTATGAAAAAGTAAGAGAGACATGGAAGTATTTGAATGCTGATGTCAAATTCATATGTCGAAACACGGCGAAGGAAGATGTGTTTCGTTTGTATGAAAGTGAGAGAGAGACACTAAGGAGGGAACTAGCTAATCTTCCAGGAAGAGTCTCTTTCACCTCTGATTTGTGGACATCTTTGAAACGCGAAGGCTACATGTGTGTGACTGCACATTACATTGATCGGAACTGGAAGTTGAACAGCAAGATCTTGACATTTTGTGCTCTACCACCACCACATAATGGTGTGAATGTTGCGACTCAGTTTCTTCAATCTCTAGATGAGTGGGGTATTGGGAAAAAGGTGTTCTCTCTCACTTTGGATAATGCTACCAGTAATGATTGTATACAGGATATTGTGAAATCGCAACTGCTTTTGAGGGATGATTTGTTGTATAAAGGAAAATTTTTCCATGTCAGATGTTCAGCTCACATACTTAATCTCATTGTGCAAGATGGTTTGAAGGTTATTGGAGGTTCTTTGCACAAAGTAAGAGAGAGTATTAAGTATGTGACAGCATCGAAAACTCGGGAAGTATTATTTGCTAAATGTGTGGCTGCTGCGACTGTGGATGAGAATGAGAATGCGGGGCTAATATTGGATGTGTCGACAAGATGGAATTCAACATTCTATATGCTTGAAAGAGCCATCAAGTACCGTAAAGCATTTGTTAAGCTGGAGATGTTTGATAAGAGAGGTTATAAAATAGCGCCTACAGCTGAGGAATGGACAAGAGCTGAGAAAATATGTCGGTTTTTAGGGCCTTTTGCTGAGCTTACACGTTTGATGTCAGGTTCTAATTACCCGACTTCAAACTTGTATTTCTATAAGGTTTGGAAGATCCATGATTGGCTTAGAATAAATGCGGATAGCGAAGATGAGATTGTCAGAGACATGGTGCCACCAATGAAAGAAAAATTTGATAAGTATTGGGATCATGTTAGTATTATTTTTGCAATGGCAGCAGTGTTTGATCCACGTTTGAAGCTTCCAATTATTGAGTTTTGTTTTGGGAAGCTTGACATGAGTACACGTGATGCAAAGATGAAGAAGTTGCGCAAAAAGCTCGGTAAGCTTTATGACTCGTACGACAAAAAAACCAAGACAAACTCACCTTCTACAGAGCCACGTGAGACGGTTCAACAAAACGTTGCTGCTGATGGACCAAAGGAGCGTTTGGGAATTATGATGTGAGTGTTCTTGCAATCTGTTACATTTTATTTTTAATTTAAAATTATTTCTGATTAAAATTTTTTTTTATAGGATTTCCTTGCATTTCGCAAAGTCAGTGGCACTGCAAATGGAAAAACAGGTCTAGAAGCTTATCTTGATGAACCAGATTTGGACATGAACAATTTTGAGAGCCTTGACATTCTCCATTGGTGGAAAGATAATGCTCATCGGGTTGGTGATTTGTCTGCAATGGCATGTGATTTGCTTAGTATTCCTATAACAACAGTGGCGTCAGAGTCTTCTTTTAGTATTGGATCGCGGGTCCTAAATAAATATAGAAGCCGTCTACTACCAAAAAATGTGCAAGCTTTGATTTGCACTAGGAACTGGCTAAAAGGATATGAAGCTTATGAACATGGTAACTTGTTCATAATATCATCTATTTTAGAGTTTTAGGTTTCAATATCTTTAACTAACTTAAAGTATTCTTACTTGCAGAAGATGAAGTTGATGGTGAAGAAGAGAAGCTCCCATCATTTGAATCGATTGTTGGTGATGAAGCTGAAGAGCAAGAAGTGTGATTTGTTTGTTTTTATTTGGTGTTTTGATTTGGTGTTGTCGTTTGGTTTTATTTAATTATGAAACTTCCATACATTATCTTGCTATGAACGAGAAAGTGACTATGATTTGGTTTTTTTTTTTTTTTTTTGCCTTATTACATTGGTGTTCTTGCTAGTTGTTATCAACGTTAACTTAATGTTTTGTTATCTTGTTATGAATGAGAATATTTTAGCTCATACTAAACATTTTCATGTTGTTTAAATAAGTGTATGGGTAGCTCATACTACATATTCTGTCATTAACTCAATGTCTTGTTGTTCAAGAAAGTCAATGATAGCTCATATTAAACGTTTTTGTTTATGTTTGGTTTGCAGGGAGAAGCAGATGGGTGTTACACCCGATGTCCCCCGGGCTGACCCGCGAAGGCTTGGAAGGATTGGCGGTACGGGATTGGGTAGCTATTTTTAAGACCACATCCCGCGCGGGACAGGCCTGCTGTGACCCGCAGAGTGACGAACCCGCAGCGGTATGGGACAGGCCGGGACGGGAGAGCCCAATTGCCATCTCTACCTGCAAATGCAATAAGGGCGAGAACCACCAATAAAATAAGTCATGAAAGTCTCTGTGAAAGTATCTTCCACCATAAAATGCAATGATTGTAACTTCAACGCTCATGTATAAACTAGGTTACACAGATATCACAACTTATCACACAACCACAAAAAGATTTCCATGAACGAGTTAAATGAAATTAGTATTTCCATGATCGTGAATAAAAAAACGATTTGAGAAACAAACCTTGATGAACAGATGCAGTAGCCTTAGCAGTCTTAATACAAGCATCATACTCCCCACAATGAAACGCCTTCACCAGATTGGGAGCTAAGGGTAATAATAACAATGGTAACTGGATTGATGATATGTAGATGTCTCCAGATTGGAACTATGGGATTAAAATTGTAAAGAAGCCTTTGAACGAAGAGCATGGGGTAATTAGCGATACTTTAGCACCTGCTTATGAGCTTGGTTCTGCAGCTACATCTCACCGCATGGGTATGTTTCCCACTGTGGGAGAAAAGACTATAGCTTCTTCGCATCATGGTTTCAGTAATAACATCTCTAACATGGCTCCTCCAGTCCAAGCATTTAGTCAGAACATTGAGAATCATAGTGCAGTGCCTTACCAAAGCACACCACTAGCTGTTGGAGGAAGTCAAGTGCTGCTATCTCCTCCTGCTGCTGCTGCCACTCATCTTCTTGGTGCCTTGAACTCGAGCAGTCATGAGACTGGAAGTGCTCAAAACACTGTGAGTAGAGAAGAGCTTAATCATATTAGTAACATCTCAGCATCTCTAGCACAGTTTTTTGGAAATGGGCAGCAGATTCCGCAGCTTCATCCTACTTTGAACCCCAAATAGGCAATGCTGGTGCCTGAAGTATATGTAAAAGAGGATCAGTCTTCACTTTCTCAAAGTGACCTCCTTAGTGATAACTCTATGCAAGCCGGAGTACTTCCAGTTGTTACTGCATTGCAGATAAAGAACAACCACAGTTAGTCTCATTAGCTGGAAATCCAAAGGCTTCTTCTGAGGAAAACATGGACAAAAAGACAAACGAAGAAGGTAGCAAAAGAACCAGATGTGAGAAAGACTGAACAAGAAGAAGAAAAAGAGACCACGGAGGATGCTGAGAACGTAGTAGAGGAACGCAGTGCTCAAAACCGAAGCTTACCAAGCTTGTTCAGGTTTGTTTGCTTGGCTCAAGACTAAATTTGCAGTCACTGAGGTGTTATTAACAAGATTATACCAATCCCTGCAATAAAGATTAAAAGCAATGACTAAGGATAAACTGAATCAATGAATCAAAGAGAGGTTTTACTCACACACCAGCATCGTCACGACCTAGAAGCTTAATAGGTGTGCCGGATTTGGGAACGATGGTATCGTCAGGAACCTCGTTCGAAAAAGAAAAACTCAAGTCGCTCTTCATCGTCTCGACCCAAAGATTCCACCTCTCTTAGGATTTCTCCAAATCCGATTTCGATTTGCAACCTTCTCTCCCGTCTTCGCAGACTCAAGCCTCCGGCAGACGTTCTCCTCCTTGGAGAATTAATTTTTTTTTTTTTACAAAACGAAACCCAATCTCCCACCGCCACGTGCTCTAAGGATCAAGTCCTTCCATTACTTATTTACGAACTGGTCCGTAGTAATGTTAATCAATATGTCTTTTTTTATTACTATCCCGCACGTATGAAGAGCTAAGGATTCCTTCGATCCCCACCATTGCGGCTAGTCTTATCACTCTCTCCTAACTCCCAACTCTGTAGGAGGTGAAACACTCCTCCTGCTAAGGCCCACTGAATAAAAGATCTGACCTAGATGGGCTTCGGTCCAGTGAGATAGCACTCCACTGGTTAATGGTTGATTTGCTTAACTCGGATAATCCCTGCGATTATCCAAGTTAAGGACGCTTAGGCGAGGGGCTTACCTTAGCGGACAGACCAAGACCCCTTTGGCGAAAGGTCCTCCGTACACGCGATCAGCTCGCTAGATCAAGGGAATATCACTATAAAAGGAAGAGAAAAGACAATAGAGAAGGAAATCCGAAATCACTTTCACACACAAGACGACTAGAACTAGGGTTCTCACTCTCGTATTTTCTTCCGACTTGTACGACACGGCTGAGCTCTCTGAGCTACGCCGTCTCACCTCTTGTTTCCTTATTTGTAAACCAAACTCTTTCATCAATAAAACTACTCTTTTACCACTTATAGAATTACCGCCTTTCTCATAACCTACTGACGAGTTCTGTCACCCTTCTCACTGATAACAGACCGTACTCGGTTCGAACAGTTGGCGCCCACCGTGGGGCATAACAAAGTAGCGTCAACAAAGCTATGAGTCCGACTAACGATTCGACTTCCGGTGAGGAAGCCGACGCGGTAGCACGCACTCCGGATACCGCCGCACCACTCGCTCCGACCCTTGTCGGTACCATCATGGAACGTTTAGCTCGTTAAGACGAAGTCTAAAAGGCGACAAATGAGCACCTCACGACTATCACCGCTATACTCGCAAACCCAGACGGTACAGGAGGAAACCTTTCGACGGAACGACGATTTCTGTTCAACACAAACCCTACCCCTACTCCGGCTAACCAGCCCATCGTGCCAACCGGAGTCCTGGATGATTCTGGGCAACCGGGAAACCGCCCAGATCTACAAACTATCCAGGAAATCGCTGCTCTCAAGCAAGCCCTCCTCGAGGTAAACTCGAAGATTCACGGGGTCACGACTTCTGCTCCGCCCATCAAAAACGTCTTCGCAAACACTCTTCGGACACCCTTCACTAGCAAGATCAATGACGTTAGGCTTAAGCCGATGGAGAAGCTCCGCCTGCCGATGTATGACGGTCTCTCAGATCTGACAACTCATATCACATCTTTTAACGACGCGATGCGACGTTAGAACTTTACGCCAGCAGAGCGAGACTCATGTTTCTGTCAGCTTTTAGTCGAAACTCTCAAGGGGGTAGCACTCAACTGGTTCACTAGCCTACCCGAAAACTCCATTGATAGTTTCCAGGACCTGTCGTCAGTGTTCCTCAAAAATTACATCATGTTCTCTCGGGAAGAAGCCACAGTCTCCGACCTCTGGCACCTCTGCCAACTACCGGGACAAAGCCTCAGAAGCTTCATGGAGAAGTTCAAGGAAATCGTGGCGAAAGTGCAAGTCCCCGACGCAATCGCTGTAAACGCCCTCATGAACACTCTTTACATGCGCTCGAAGTTCCGTGACGATCTTTACAGCCACCCAACGAAGTACCTTGCGATGCCATTGACCAATCTCACAAATTCATCCATATGGAGGAAGACACTAAGGAGATAATAAGCAAGCAGAACGCGCGAAACTAGGAGGGACATCAGCAGCCAAAGCACCCGAAACGGAGCCGAACCTCGACAGCACGCCCCTACGGACAATACCAACCCAAAGAAGAGCTTCATTTACCTTGCGAATCAGGCAGACAGGTCGTTCGTAGAGATTCGAGGAAAAGGGAGGAACTCCTACAAACTTCAACCCGGCTCCGAAGGGAGCAAAAACCAAGCTTCCCCAGAGCCAGCAAGCTCTACCCCTGCCAAAACAGAAAAAACTGACAAAGCCGATAAATGGTGTTCTTACCACGAGTCGAAGAAGCATGACACCAGGGAATGCAAAGTCCTGTAGGAGAAGTTCCTCTCGTCCATTTCCAGCAGCAAACTCGAACTCGCAGTTCATCTCCCAACAGTTCCGCGACTTCTGCTCCAAGTGGAGAATCCGTATCAACACGTCCACTCAAAGGTATCCACAGAGTAACGGACAAGCCGAATCTTTGAACAAAACCATCATCGATGGAATCAAAAAGAGACTCGACCTAAACAAGGGTCATTGGACAGACGGGTTAGACGGAGTTCTCTGGTCACACAGGACGACTCCAAGAGGAGCTACTAAGACAACACCCTTCTCTCTCACTCACGGCATCGAAGATATGGCACCAGATGAAGTAAACGTCGCCAGTCTACGACGATCAAAAATGCCGGAGCACGTCGAACTCAATAGCGATATGCTCCTCGACGCGTTAGACGCTATCGAGGAACGACAAGATCAAGCCCTCTTGCATATCCAGAATTACTAGTATCAGATCGAACGTTATTACAACAAAAAAGTTCGGTTCCGACCCCTCGAACTGGGAGACCTCGTTCTACGTAAGGTCTTTGAGAATACCAAGGAGCCAAACGCCGGAAAACTCGGCGCCAATTGGGAAGGACCTTACAAAATCACTAAGGTTGTAAATCCAGGCGTTTACCATCTCGAAACTTCATCCGGCGAGACAGTTCCACGAGCTTGGAACTCAATGAACCTACGGCGCTACTTCGCCGAGTAACGAGTTCCTACTATTTCAAAAAAAAAAAAAAACCAAACCAAGTTAACGACTCTTCAGTCACGTTAACTCGTAAACTGAGTGAATGCGCGGTACAGCCACTTCTACTCGGCAAATCGAACTACGAGTGGCTTGATCCTCCCCAGAGGTACGTAGGAAACCTTAACCGGTCCAGCTATAACTGAACAAAAAAATCCATCGCGATGCCTACGCCCCAGCTTCCAACATGAGAAGGGACCGCGGGTCACGTACTGGCACTCGCATAACTTCGTCAGATATGCCCCGATCAGGCTTATCCAGCGAGCTCTGTCACTCGCAGTCAACTCCGACTGACGAAGAGACGTCAAGTTTGATTTCGTGATAGCTCCTAGAGTGGGGATCGGCCGACCTATAAATTCTACGGAAATACTTCGCGAAATTCAAAATCCTTGATGGCTTAACTTAAAATGCAACTTCAGCATTGCTGCGTAGTCGAAGTCACGCCTAACCGATGAGCAGCGCGCAAAAAGGTTAAACTCGAATAGCAGCATATAATTCTGAGCAGCGACCTAAATCAGAGTTTTAAGTTTAAAACGGGAGTTACTTCGGAGATGGACGAACTCTGATAACCCCTCTTTAAACCTAAAGTCCCCGAGACGAACTTCCGCTCTGGAATTCTAATCAAAACTCGCAAATTCCACAAAAATTATGCTAAGGCAAACTCTCAAACGAAAAATCAAAGTCCATAAAAGATAAAAGCCCCAGTGGCAAACATCGGGATAAGTCTTAAAGAGTCATACAACGACAAGGGTAGAATCGAAAGCAACTCCACAAACGGAGTGAACGAAAAGAAAAGAAAAGATCTATTGCATCAGGACGACTACTCCTTCGATATCGCGGCGTCATCACCATCGTCGCGAGTATCTATCTCTTGACCCCGAGAAGCATTCGTCGACGAGGATGGATGACTCGTGGCCCGCCGATTCGTACCCTGATCACCATCCAGCTTAGGCGGATTAGCTATTGCCTTATCGCTTTCGAGGGATTTGCCTTTGCCGTTCCCATAACCGTCAAGACCCGACACATCGACCTCATCAGAAGAATCGATGATATGCCAGGTGCGACCCGAGTTAACAGGCAAGTGAAGCTGAGCAGCGACCTTGGGACCCATTTCATTCATATTCGATCCACTTGGATCGAATCCAGCAACCGAGTTTCTATCGTAACCGGCCATCATGTAGAAGAGGACCGTTTCATCGATGTACTTCGAGGCAAGCACCAGCGGAGAAAGACGATAGTCGTTTTGATCGGGTGACCCGGGATACATATATGATATGTATCGTCTTCTGTGTAACCATGCATTTTTAATATACCTAACGTGATAGCACTCTCTTTTTTTGGGTGTGAAATAGCACTCTTTAAATTATCTGTCCATTTTTTCATTTCAATGTTAATTAACGTAATATCTATACTGTTGACTCCATGTTCAGGGGAGACTCGCTCGCCTATTTTTATGTCCCCAATGTAAGGTATGGAGGATATCTTGATCAACAATGTCATTCAGTATGGCTGGGGAAAACATTCACGCACCAGGATTAAGTTAACTGAGTTCGATTTCTGCCCTGACATCAGACCTTTACTGTTGCCACCATCGTCTCTCTATAGCAAGATTTGATGTTGATACATCCCAAATCCAGTTGATACATTCAGTATGGCTGGAGGTGATGTGTGTTCTGGCACATGTAGCTCTTGCAACGGCTCGGATGGTGATAAAACAGCTACTAACCAGATCACCGGAGGTGATGGCAATCTCTCAAACGACCCCGGTGCATCGGATGCAACAGCCGCTGCTGAGTAGCCCACTTTTGGCGGAA